ATGCAACTTAAGCCTTCTAATGTAAAAAACTGCGTTTTTGACGATAAAATTTACCTTTTTGAGCCTTTCAATTATTAAACGTATTTCTGCCTAAGATCCATCTATGTATTAAATTACGGATTAGACTCCGTGACAAAATTTACTATGAAACCAACAAAAAAATAAATAAGATCAATAAATTGCATCCCTTTGTCAGTATGACGCATCTATCTGCTACCTTGTCGCTTACCTATAACAAGTATATGCATATAAGTAAGTTTATCTGAAAAGGATCTAGAGTAGAATTCCAAATTCTAATAATATAGTGTAGAGTAGCTTTCTTAATTGAGCTTAAAAGCTTATGATGCGTTGTAAGTGTTTGATGGTAAATTGAAGTATACCACCGCAGCATGCGGAGATTGCGGAGCCAAGTTCATGGTAGCGACGGACGTGACCGCCAGCGAGCGGTGTGGGTGCCCGCCGACTTTCCAACGCTTAATTAAATAACACCCGCGCGTTTTTCACACTATTGCGTCAATGGTCAGGCATAGCACGCGATATTTGCACCCGAGCGATTATAAATAGAATCGCCTGGCGAAAACTGTACTCATCCATTTTATTTTAGAAAGAAATGAACGGAGGTAAATAAGATAGTATCCGTAGAATTACGATGGCCGGATTGATGCTCACTGTTTTGTTTTCGATGAGTGCTCGTCGAACGGGCGCACTCTATTTCCAGACGCGATGAGGCTAAAGGGATATTTATATTCGAATTCGTTACTTCGATCGAAACTATGTTTTGTTTAACTAAGCAAAGGCTGAGAGACTCGAATAAAATATTTACATAAGATTATTTTTGGACGGCGTCGCTCTTTCACCGCATGAAAGCAATTACTCATATTTTCGATCAAATGACGCATGACCCGAATATACTCGTATTTATTGAAAGACAAATTGGTAAAGGTAGTCCATTAATCGCTATAAATAAATTTTATACTTAGATTAGTCAATACATTAAGTATAGTAGGTACCTGTTTGATTATACTTTTATTGTATTAAAAATTAAACCGACTTGACTTAGGCATTTTCCAAAGTTTACTAAGAGAAGCATTGGCAAGCACAGCTTAACTTATATGCGACATGGTAAGTCATCGATTGTTGATCTCTCAACTATTATTTTAAAGCTGTAGATAATGTATATTTAGGGTACGATAGGAAGTCATATCTTAAAGATCAAAAGTCCTTAAAAATATAGAAAAAAATATTTATATATTTTTATTTGCTCATTTTTTGAAGAGAAATTCTTTATTATATATGTATAAAAATAGCGATTGATATCTATAGCATATAATATTTAAATACAAAAGAATGTAATAAATCGGAACAGCTCGCATAATTACATTTTTCTTTGTTGTAATTTTATTTGTATTATCTGTGCAAACATACGACCAGTTGTTACTTACTGCAATATGAAAATTGTTTCTTTTATACACAATTTGCTGTATTTGCTGTTTTCTATTCAGTACTGCACGTGACTCATTTAGTGACCGAATTGAATAAATTTTTAGAAGTAGGCACTGTAAAAAAGGTACTACTTACAAAATTATAGGCAACGTTTATTAATAAATAACTAATATAAACGAATTGAGGTACGGATATGATAAATAAGTTAAAGAGTTGGATCATAAGACGGTAACATGTAAGAAACAACAATAACTTATCAGGTATTTTAATGCTATCGGAGGGCCTAACCATTTTATGACATGACATGACAGAACTTCTCACCTTGGTCAACATTACTCTTATTTTATTGTATACTAGCTGTTTTCCCGCAACTTCTTACGCGTAAATCATAGCCTATGTCAACCCCGTATGATGTAGCTACCCGTAGGTGAAACAATTATTAAAATCGGTCCAGTAGTTTCGGAGCATATTCTATGCAAATACAAATCTTTCCTCAATTATCTAGATACTTAGTTATACACTGTCTTGTTTAAACAAATCTAAAATCTAATTTGACATGTCTGTAAAAATTTTATCAATGTGCAATCGTATCAAAGTAAGTTCTTATAAGAGTGTTTAAACTGACAATGTCAAGTTTTATGACTATAAAAACTTGCGTTAAGTAGAAAGGCTAACTCAAGCATTTGCGTCACGCGTCACGATAATATAATATGAATTTTAAAACCCTGTTGTGAGGAGACATGTCCGACCTTACCTTGTATTGAGTCTGACGTTATTAGATCATCAAGCGGGGTTCCTGAATATGTACATACTTTGTCCTAACACTGTGTACTTCCTGGTATTGGGCACGCCAGACCATGACGGTCACGCATCGTTGGCATTGACGTAAGATCTTTGATAGTAATATTGTTTTAGCACTGAAAACTTAATGATATTTCACTGAAAAGTTCTCTTATTGTTTGTATTGAAATAATGTCATATTTTTACTCGTGTCTGATACCTATACCTATTTACAGAGTACGTAAATAAATACGTACACGGCTTGTAAATCTTGTGCAACGAATATCTGATGATAAGAAACAGAACACTTGGGTCATAAGATAAAAGTGTAAACAATTTTTTTTTCATTCTTATATGTATTTTACCTTGTGTTGAATTTAACTGTCGCGACATTGTTTACGAAATGACGTGAGCAAACAGCTCTTTCTTTATATTCTTTCCATTTTTATGACAATATTAATTGTTACTAAATCCGTGTTATTGTCTCACGATACAAAGAATGGGTAGAAAAGATATTGTTGAAAATTTCCAATCTCACCACCAAAATGGACGGAAGCGAGCCGTTGTGCGGCGTTCCATATTAGGTTCAACGACTACACGAATGACGTTACCCCTCGTCAAATCAGTCCGTGACCTTTTCAGTACTTTCTAACGCTTACCGTATGACGTAAAAAGCAATACTTATAAAACAAATAGCTATTTTTATTTACCAAGGGTTGCGAAAAGCGTAAAATATATTGGTCAATATCTTAAATTAATTAAATCATACCGTATTTGGTCATATCCTTGGTTAGTAACACGTGTAAACAATATAAAAATGGGTACGAAATGTTAATATTTGCACGTCGTCTTGGCTACAAGTTATGCTGGACATTAAAAATTGTTAACAACTTATGTAACCGTATTTTCGCAAATAAAGAATTTATGATTATTATTATCCCTTGATATCCCTTGATTGAGACTGAAAACAGATATCTTATCCCGTGACCCACAGGTAAAAGGTATCTATTTATGTGTTTATGTGTAGTGGACGTGCGTGGTTGATGTCTAACAGCCGCACTCAGAGTCGTATTAATGATAACTTAACGATATTTAAGTAGTGATTAATGAAAGTTAACTTTTCATTTGTGATGTTTAATTACAATTAACTTTAATGACAGCTGAACGTTTACTTAACTTGCTGATGTCGGATTTATTTCAATTATTATATAGGTTATGAAAGTGAGTTAACACGAGTGTTTCATTTTATTTTAATTAGGTACCTAGTTCTATTAAAAAAAGCAATATCTGATTTTAAAGATTTTGTAAAGTTTGAATATTATACAAGAAGGATTAGAGAAACAGGACCATGGCGGTATTTACGTGATTATTCGGATCATTTCTCAAAATATTCCGTACGTGAATTTTAAGCGAGGTATAGATTTACACATCTTGCTGTAAAAAACAGAATTTAACCAATGTTGGAACTTCATGAATTTTGTCTAATGTCTAATGAGAACTCCTTGTTTAGTAACTATTGGGTGCTGGATGTAGGTTGTGTTATTATTCCTATTATCCCTGTTTATTAGTTTACAATTATATTCACAGGACTTCACCAAGTGAATGTGACTTGATGTATTATTATTATTAGTTATTTGTTTACACGTGTCAACAAACCTACGTCATGGCGTAAAATTTTTTGATGATTCGATAACGGGTTGATTAACTAATGTGAGTGTTCTTGCCATAGCGATAGATTAGCGCATCTTATATCGAACGATCGATTGGTAACATTGAAAGTAATGAGACTTAATATGAGCATGGAAAGTCGACTTTAAATTATTTATTTTATATATTAGTAGTTTAAATAATATCGGCACACTACGGACGATATTGCAATTTGCTTAGCGAATAAATATAAGTTTCTATTATTTACAGTTCTCCAGTCCAGTCCAGTTTGAGTCTAATATATCTTGTTTTAGAGTTTTGTGGAAACTATATATAGAATGCTTGACATAGATAGGTTAAACTAACGATTTTCAACTTAAATATTTATTTTTGTGAAAAACGATAGAGTTACTGTCAAAAATAATTGTATGTCAAAGACAATAGTTTCGATTGGACCGTTATAGGCAAATTTGACTAATAATCAGGTCACAATAATATCGATAGAATATCACTATCGTGACAGCACTAAGTAATATGAGTGTGATAGGGTTCCAAATTTAACGGAGATTTCAATTAACAACGATTTACATGCTTGGTGTGTTTTAATTACGTAGTTCAAGCGTGTCAGAAAATCGATTTACGTTACAATGATTTAGGCTGGCCTGTAGATGTCGTGGTAGACGACAAACGCGTATTACACTCAACGTTGGTACACCCTTCTTTATTAATGCCCAAGTGAATGATCACAAATAAAAAAAAAACACTACAAAGAGTTCTTCATCAATTCTTGGACGATAAAGTAAATTAACCTTTTTCTTCACAAAATTTGTAGAAACATTTATATTAATTTATTGAAATAAAAAAATAATTCGTGTAATACCTGCGGATAACATAAGAAGGCTTTTTCCTTATTACGACAGTTTATTGGCTTTTGTAATCTAAATAGCGGTCACTCACATCACATCCGTCTACCTAGGAAGTATGATCAATAAACCTTTCCTGTGAAAATGATTTATGTTTTCACTAAAATTCGGGGGATTAAACTTTATTAGGAAGAGAAAAAGTGAATATCATTGTTTCGTGTCTGAAGCTGCTATGTTATTAAATTTTATAATAACTCTTTATTTCAGACTGTGAATCATTAATCCGCAAGATGCTGGTCCTGGAGCCAATGAAGCGGTATACCATAGAGCAAATCAAGAAGCATCGATGGATGTCAGCGGAGCCGTATGTAGTGTCGACTGCAGCAGGTGATCCGATGCGTAGTCCTGCTCATGTGCCCGCTCATCATGAGCCCAACGACCAGGTGTTACGATTGATGCAAAGCTTGGGCATAGATCCTGTTAAAACCAAAGAGGTGAGTTGTTAGATAATATATAGAAATAATATTTAACCGATTTCAAAATCCAAAAGGAGGTTGTATGTTCACCGATATTTCCGCCAATTAATGACCGATTTTCAAAATTCTTTTTTAATTCACCGACAGTTTAATGGACCGAGGTGGTTCTATTTACATTTTATCGAAATCAGATCAGTAGTTTCTTTTCTATAGCAAAACAAAATATACATTTGTACCATATATCACCTAAATATTTAGAGGATATGTATTGTATTTTATGTATCTCAGCTGAAAATCGAGAGACTGTGTATTTGAATTCATCCAAAATTCGAAAGGAGTACTTTCTTTGTTCAAGGAGTATGTATATTTTTTATGAAAGTAGGTATGTGAATCGATTTCTTCTTGAATTATTAACCAATTTTTTAAACTAGCTGTGTCTACACGACTTCGCCTGCGTAAATTATAGCCTATGTCCAACGTGTATTATGTAGCTTTATAATCTTTCCTCATTATAATATGAGTATAGAATTATTGGAAAAAGAATTGTAGAGCAAATAAACTAAATCTTCTTTCTGACTTTTACTAAAGTAAGACTTTAAAAAAGGGAATAAAAATGGAGTGGAAGTTAAGGAAGAAGAAGTACATAGGGAATGAAAACGTTACTATAGTAACGATTGTTTGCTATTCAATTTGTCATTGTAATTATATTTATATCAAGATATGAATCGATATCAGATTAGCAGAAAGCTAGTATTTAATATTTTTAGTGTATATGTATATTATAGTGTGTGTACATTATATAAAAAATAATTAATAACAATAAAAAATATGAAATAAAAACTTAAAAAATAGAACCGACTTCAAACTTTAAAAAAGTGATAAATAATGCTTATCCAAGAAAATGCTGTTAAAGTCAGGAGCCTATCACTTAATAAAAAACCTACAAAAGATCTCCGCCCGACTTTAATAGCATTTTCTTGAATATGTCGCTTTTGAGATAAGTATTATTTATCACTTTTTTAAAGTTTGAAGTCAGTCCTATTTTTTATTTAAGTTTTTTCTTATACTGTTTATGCTAAGAAGGAAAGCGCGTTATTGTCGCTCTATTTTAATGAAAAACAACAATATCCTTAATATAAACTACCTTATATTATCGAACATCGGTTGATACAATAATTTTTTTTAAATCAATTACAGAGCCTCCGTTCGAACAGTTACGACCACCACGCAGCAATCTACCTCTTATTATTGGAAAGGTTAAGAGCTCGAGCAGCGAGCGGCGCCAACAGTTCTAACTCTGAAGCTCGTACTAGACCATCTAGACGACCTTCTTCTGTGGCTGATTCTGCATTGGCCAGGGAGGCTCAAGAAGCAAGAAGGGAACATCACAATCGGTAATTTTTTTTATGACTCTATAACGTTAGCAAATAAAATATACTCAATATATATTATACTTAAGTTATCATCAGTCGTAAGGTTTTCTAAATAAAACTGGATAAGTAATCTGTATGCTATTTAAACGAAGAAATTTTATTAATTTTCAGGCTGCTACACTCTGGTGAAGGCCAGGTAAGAGAATATAGCCGTGCCACACCCACACTCACAGCGGCTTCGGCTGACTCCTCCTCTGCTGAGACCCAGCGATTGCTGTCCCTCGCAGGCGTCAATATGACGGAACAAAGACTGCTCCAGCGAAATTCCGATCCATCGGACACGCATAGGAGTTTTCTAGTCAGTAACATAGATAGCATCACCAAAACTCATGAAAGTGAATCGACGAGGCTTCTTTCCATGAGAAACATTGATGTAACCCAATCTAACCAAAGGCTAGGTGCGAAGTTAAGCGAAACTACTGTCCCTACACACAGATTACTAACCACCACCTATGAACAACAGCAAAACATATTGAAACAGTCAAGCGAAGATTGCAGAAGACTATTACAGCAGTCTACGACTGTAGGTCCTGAAACAAATAAAAACCCGAATGACGGAACTAGATTACTAACGTCGTCCAGTTTCGATTCTAAATGTGCAATAGATGGAGGTCGAAGTTCATCAGCGGCTGACCACAATGTCATTGCAAATTTTCTCCAAAATTCTGCTTCGGCTACCAATTTTAACGCAGAAACTGTAAAACTACCTAGTTCGACTACATTTACTATGTGCTCAGAGGCTGCAAAGCTAATGAATACATTGCAACAGTCCCCTCTACCATTAAAAGGTACTGTCAATTTGAGTACTAGTCCGATACCTACACAGCTTACTGATACAAAGCTTAGTAGTGTGTTAGAACAACCGAAGCCTCTGGAATCGACAAGACTAGTATCCCAAGCACAACAACAGGATCTTAGCAGATTGCAAACTAGCACTCCGCCGTTTAAAGACTATATGAACCACCATTTACCTGCATATTCGTACTTACAAAATGCAGTCTTACCACCAATTTCCAATACGACTGAATCAGCAAATTTTCCCATTATATCTGGAACTGGTACAAATGAGTTATTTCCGACCTCATCATTATATAGGCCAGACAGCAAATTTTCATTAAACAGATATACGACTGGTCAAACATACGCCCAAAATCTTCAAACTAATCCACCTGAGGCGACAAAATTTCAACAACAGTATTCGTCCTCAACAGATGAAGGCTGTGAAACTGATATGGAAGATGTAGCAAGTATTCCTAGCGGAGTCCAAAATCGGTTGAGTTCTTACGCAAGTTCCAGTTCAAGCAGTGGAGTTGTCACATTTTTCAATAACAAAAGTCTTAGCCAGAACCTAAGTTGCGACTCTTCACAAAGCAACTTCTCTACTTTTGAAAGTTTAGATTATCAATTGTCTGATTGTTCGAGTGAGTTAGCTAGCAGTTTACCTAGTTGCACGTCTAATGAAGATAAATTAGCATACGAAAATAGTTCCTTAGTAAATACAAGTCCAATGCATCCGTGTGTTTATATATCTTCGTACAATAATAAGAATGCTGGCACTGGTTTTATAACTAGGCATAATCCATTGAACTATCAAGCAGGTAACAAAAATTGTCCACGTGCAATCACAAGAAGTCCTGTGGATTTTAGAGAGGGACGCAGAGCAAGTGATGGCCTAGTTGCACAACAAGTGGCACAGTCAAATGAAACTCAAAAGAATAGCTTAGCATTTAATAGTCAACGACTAAATGAAAATTGCAAAGCGAAAGGAGTATTAGAATTGCATCTAGTCCAAAAAGAGGCCCAAAAGCTAAAAACTCAATATCAAGCTTCTCTCCCTGCTGAAGAAATGACGCAAAGACAACTTCAGCACAACCAATTTGCAGCAAGTTTTAGTCCTCATTATTTGGATACTAAGACACCTACACCTAAACGTATTAGTCTTCCAGAAACGTTCACTTACTCGAGTACATCACCTCCAATGCCAGCTAGTCCTAAAATGGTAGCTCAACTTCAGGAATCCTCGGATTTGCCCCACGCGGCGACAGTATCCCAGTCGACTAAACCCCCGCTACAACAACAATTGATGCAACACAGACTGTATCAGCAGAAACGTCAATTACTTCAGAAACAGATGACTCCGCCGAACGTCCCCACTCATGATTTAGGACCTCTTCATAATTTACAAGTTGGGCTCAGCCGGAGACAAATGCTGCGACAACAGAGTTACAAAATGGCGCAGCAACAACAAATAATGCCTCCTTTACCTTTAACTGAAACGGAAAATAGGGACTTGCTAGCGTTCCAAGCAATCGTCGAGGGGCCCAATCGAACGGCAAAACCGAAGCCGGAAGAGAATCAGGAGGAAGTATCAAAATTTACTTATCAAGGGTCAATGGAGATAAGCATAATGAATAAGGAAAGGTTGGGGAGCGAGAATTGGAGCAATTTACCGTCGAGTCTGCAAAGTGCGTGTCAGATCTCTGAACTGGGGCGACGTGAGGTACGCGAGGGGGAGGGCACGGGGGGTGCGGGGGTGTCGGGTGAGACGGCGCCGCCTTGGCCGGCGCATTGGAACGCGGCGTTGTTCCCGCCACAGCCATGCTTCCAGGTATTCCAACAGATCAACTAGTAGATCGCCACGCTCGACCTAGATTGTAGCGGTAGTGCACGCGGAGATCGCCAGCTTTTTATATTCGATCATCCTGAAATATGCGACAGGCCGACGCCGGTTCTCGTGTCCAGGCCCGGATCTAGAGGGGTGGGGGGAAGTGGCAACTTTATAGGTATCTACAATACCTAATCACAGTTATAAATAAACCAGCTTCACAAATCCTTTCATAGACATTATAGGCTAGAATGAGACGGTCGTGCTTTGAAAATCCCTAATTAAAATTAAAGAAAGAATACTCTGCAAAAATATGGTAATATAAAATCGTCAGTCTCATAGAGGGTAGAAGGGAAAGGGATGGGGTGTAGAGTAAGGGTGCTATACGAAGTTTCTGCCCCGGTTACAAAAAATCGTAGATCCGGGCCTGCTCGTGTCGCTTCTGTCCATGTGGTGTCGTCGCTTCCGAACGCGCGCAATGGCCGCCGCTAGAGTGCATGACAATAACTGTTTAAACACGCCCTAGAATTTATGAATGTAATCAAAATTACTATCGCTAGTGAAATAAATGAATTTCAAAGTGACTCAGTGAGTTAGCGATTTTTAGATTTGCGATAGATTCGTTTTATAAAGAAACGTGTATAATATTTGTGAATTAATTAAAAGTCAATCTAGCGCTGATGTTCTGAATTCTCACATTTAATTAGGGAATTATTTGATTAATTCATAGTCCATATAGGTTTTCTTTCATCACAAATACATTAAATACCTGTTTATGATACTACTCTATAAAATAAAAATTATACAAAAATGTAGAGCTGAATGTGTATGTCGACAAACCATTTGTTTATATACTTATATATAAACCTATTATTATAAACTCTATTATAATTATGTACGAGTATTCATTTTTTTATAATATAAATGTAGTATTTAGTAATTTTTGTAGTTCTGATTAAGAATTATCATATGCCATAAAGTGCCGAAATAAAAAGTACATATTAATGTCTATTGTTACTCTTACATAATAAATACCTGTTATCAAAAGAGAAGCATGGAGTAGTTTATTATATTGAAGAGAAATAAAATTAAAATTTTTGAAATAATTCCCGACATTATTGCACATCCGTCAAATTTGCTATGTTTCAAAATTCAAATGTGAGAATGCAGAATCGTAGGCCTACTCCCTCAATTTTAGATTCCGAGTGAATCCATTTCATGACTAAAGGGCTTAACTTGCGATAAATATGTATTAAATAATAATTTTACCTACAATGATCACCCGTATTCAGAAACCTCACTTGAGCACGTTCCTATATTACAATATCATTGTTTTACTCCATTATGTTAATTATAGGCTATTTATTATAAATTATGACTCGGTACTTTATGTGAAAGTCTGTATAGTTTTTTGTTATAATTTGCTATAATAATAAACTTATTACTAAGATGCAAGATGTGATAGCTTTACTTAGACACAATTTTATTTAAATACAAGTAAATGTAAAATTTATAATAGTACTTTGTTTTATTTAATCACCTTAGTAAGTTGTACCAATTATACTGTAGGTAGAAAATCATTTTTTTTTTGTAGAGACACGGTTGCATGGGTATTCAAAGACGTTTTTTAAGTTAAAATATCACATTAGATAGCATGAAAGACAAGTAGCACATAATGTGTATACATACACACTTATTTTATTTTATATGTAAGGTGTGTTGGTTTGAGAATTAGGCTTGATTTTTAAAACGTGAAAGTTCTCTTCTAAAGATAATTCGGGTAAATAATACAGAAAAGTCTTGCTGATTTGATTGACAGACAGACTTACAAAACCTCTCTTTGCATAATATAAAGTATGTCTCAGCACTGACTTTGTGAGGTTCTCATATAAGTAATCATTGAGTTCATCGATTGTCTTAATTAGAGTATTTCGCATAGACTTTTTAACCACTATAAAGGCCGTAAATTTTTTGTCTGTAATATTAACACAACCAGCACGCGTATGTACCACTCAAATCATATAATAGCGAGCATCACAATCTCGAGAAACGCTTTGTCTACTCCAAAACCCCAATTGTATTTTTTTTTGGGTGCACATGCACCTGACACTATTTTATATACCAGGGCATGCAGTCGATAATTGAAGTTATCGTTATTTGTTAGGCGCGAATCATATTCATTGTCAAGTTATTGATATTTGTAAGTTCCCTTGCGATGGAATTTAGCTTGGGAAGTGGGCTTTGCAATGGCTATTAACCGATCGTATTCAATTCAATTTTCATGGACTTTGTCAAAATGGAGACTGCATGCCCTGGAACCAAGTATAACTAATACAATGGAGTTTTGATAAACCAATAGTGGCTCATATGTGCCTATTGTAAGAGAGATAAAATCGAATGTAATTGACTCGCCATGTTGAAATTGAGACTCGGTTAGATCACTGCAAACTACCGACGACAGTTCTTAACGGTAATTCGCTGCACTGTGGAACTTATTCTGTGTGATCGTACATATTCCAGCAAAACTGGCAAGGGCACAGTCTACCACCTACTGCGAACATGCTGCCGCTCAGCGAGAGCCCTATTTTGGAGCTGACAGAACAAATGGAGTCTATTTGAGGGTCACTAACGGATTAGAAGAAATTAAGGCGTCATTAAAATGAAGCACCTTCTTTTTTGGTAGCTAATTGAGAGATAGTTTGCTTGTGAATCTCCTAGGTTGTTACTAAATTTAAGAAATACTTAATGTAGATAATCTCTCCTCCCGACGTTGTGCTGCAACGACTTTTGCATTTGCATTGAATTGGCTACTCGATTGTTCAGGGAAAAGTATTTTAAAACATTCATTTTATCATTTATACTATCACAATTATTTTTCTCTAAAATGTGTTGTTGAATAAAGGAAAATTCATATCTTTATTCATTAATTTAAATTTTCCTGCGAAAAAAATCAATTACGTGACGCTTCGAAACGATGTCACAATATACGCGAATTTCAATATACGCGAGGACTGACTGCAATCGCAACAAAGACGTTGATATTTTAATTTATTGAAATGTGACGTCACGTCCCGAAACGTCATGTAATTGATTTTTTTCGCAGGAAAATTTAAATTAATGAATAAAGATATGGATTTTCCTTTAGTCAACAACACATTTTAGAGAAAAATAATTGTGATAGTATAAATGATAAAATGAATGTTTTTTCGCATGCCTGCGTTTTGGTTTTGGTAATCCATAACATGACCCGCAACATAATTTTACAAAAAATTAAAAATATCACAATTTATTAAATTTAAAAAAAAAACACTATTTATTAATTTTAAAATAAAAGAAAAATACTACACAGATATAATAAGTTACCATTTCCAACATACATATTTCTAGTTTATTATTATAATCGTCAAGTAGCCAATTGAATAGTACTATAGATAGGAAGCAATTGCATAGTTGGAAAGCGCTGGATACATATTCATTAATCGTGATATTCAGGGATAATATTTCCAAACTAATTAATACACAGTCAGATAAAAAAAGATATTGTTCAGGGTTCATATATCATATTTTAAACAATAGTAGTCATTTTATGTTTCAATGAAAAGATTTAAGTGAATGTAATGTTTCTTATTCTTATTTACAAAAGCAATAATAGTTTGTCAGATTAAAATAAAATCGCATTCTGAAAGCGCCTTCATTGTAAATTCTAGTACTGCGGATATTTGTCAGTAAGGACTCTACCTACATACTCGAATATTATAATTACGAAACAGAATTAGACACAAAATTAGAAAAAAAAACACTTTATTTTATATTCTTATTTTATTATTATAATAAAATTTATTACATTCCAAAATTTGAAATGAATTTGTTTAATTAATTTTGCTAATTAGCTATTTAAATCTTATATGTGTGCAATATTGTAAGTGTTGTAATGCACTACCTAATTGTAAATCAATATATAATTATCAAAAATATGATAAATTAGATACTTATAATTAATGAAATAAACGAAGTGACAATATCATATAGAATTAAGTATAAAACAAATTTAAGGAATCCTTACCTAAGTAATAATCGGATCAAAAGATGAATATTCAAATATGGTGCTTTGGGGTAATACCGAGAGCAGGGAAATTTCGTAAATTACCACGAATTACCACTAAATCAGGCATTGACAAACTTGACAAATAAAAAACTTCTAACAAAGAAAATTCCTTTTCGGAATTGCCTCGCATTCGTGATTACTCCAAAGCACCTTACACAGCTCAATGGATAGGTAAGTATCTATTGAAAGAAATCAATTTTATTACATTAATTTTAATATTACAAACAACTTTTTAATTAAAATAAGTATGTATGATCTAGTTTTCCAAAAAACACGCGTTATGTACACGTTTAAATAAATTTTTACCGACGAAATTTTCTTCTTAATGAATCTATCTTAAAATAAAAGACTGAAATTGGTGTCAATTCTGACCAACTACAATCAAGAGATTACAGAAATGGATATTCAAAGTAATGACTTATAATTAAACGAATATTAAAAATATACAAAAATGCAAAATAAATCGTTCCTAGAGCATTGCTCTACAGTTAAAACGTAAAGATCCGAAATAGTGGCATATTTTTTTTCTCCAGCTTATTTTATGAAAATCAGTATTATAAACTAAGCAATCAAATTAAATAATGACATCAGTGTTGTAATAAAAAGGGTTAAGAATTGATTAGACATATCATCCGAAGATGAATGTACGTAATGTGTTATTTAGTGTCTGTAAAGTGTAAGTTAGTGGTACTTATAACATGTATAAATTACCTAATGATATTAATTCTAGACGGATAATGTCATAAAACGTTCATACATTAGTTGACGAAATTTAATATGGAACTGAAAGTTATTCATCTGTCCAAATAGTGGTGTATTAGGTTTAAAGTGATGAAGAACAAGTTTAAATCGGACTTTCTCATCAGTTCCTGATGGTTATTAATTATTTTTAACGTAGCCTTAGGTCAGGTATAGGCTGGATGAATATAACTGCAATGAGGAAAACGTACGGCGTATGCTTGAAATCACAGAACATAGAGATCTATGTTCTGTGTTTGAAATCATAAGGCAATCGAAAACTTAGAGGTGAATACATTAAGTTTCCGTTTTGAATTTAGGTGGTCATGGGTGTGAATGTGTTGTTTAAGTATTAAAAGTCGATGAACTTTGCATTTTGTATCAGAATAACGGTGTATGTATGTACATATAAGTTTATATAACTATG